TATACAACTCAAGTATATAGAAATGTGTCCCCCCTACGTTCCCTGCCTTTGCCACAAAAGGCTGCCAAACTCCTTTAAAGGGACTCTCCAAGTGGACACAGCCACCAGCTCACACAAGGAGGTTAGCAGTGCACACTGATACTGGACAACTTTCAAGTGAATTACATGAGATTTTAAAATGCTTTTTGCTGTTGCAATCCCAGCTAGTATCTTGTCTCTTACAGCATGGACTTAACAATTTGCAATGAATGAAATAGACCAACCAGAGGCTAGAAGAGATAGGGGTTCTGAAGAGCATCAGAGATATATTCAGACATTGGCTTCTAGGAAAATTGAGAGACTAGCAACAAATCAGAGATTCTATCATCAGCAGATAAGAAACTCCCTCATTGAATGGGCCAAATATTGCCCTTGTTAGATATTGGTAATAATAGCTAGTACATTTATAGCACGTTTTATGTTACTCAGTCCCCGCTCTAAGAGCCCTGCATAAATGAGCTCCCTTACTCTGCACAACCTGTATGAGGGAGGTGTTGCAGAGACTTTACTTGTCTACGGTTACACGTCTGTAGAGAAGCCCCTTCTTTAGAGCAGTAGCAACTGTTTATATGTCACGGTTTTTGCAAAGTCAAATATATTTGATTCTCACACTTGCTGTGATTATGGGTGATGGTTTCACGTTACAAATGAGGGAGGGGAGGGGACTTGCTCAAAGCTTCACAGTTAATGAGGAATCCAGGTTTTCAGAACCCAGATCTTGAATTCTTTTGTAAACTCAGGGGTCTGTGAGCTCTTTAAGAACAAAATTCTGGGTTTTCAACTAGAATAATTATTATTTCATATAATTATTGAATAATGAAATAATTATTTCAATAATCTTCAAACAAAACAAACATCTTAGCAGTTTGAAAGATGTTTTCACAGAACGGGCCTTGGTTTGTAAGCTGCCCTTCGCAAATTTGAAAATGAGCTTTCCCAGGCCCTTTCATTTGGTGATAATGAATTTTAAAAATCTGACTTTCTACTCAAATATACTCAGTTGGCTCCCGATATGGCTTGATCTTTTTTTTTTTTTTAAAAAAAAAGATGACCAGTAAGGGGATCTTAACCCTTGACTTTGGTGTTGTCAGCACCACGCTCACCCAGTGAGCAAACT